CTTTAATTTGAACAGAAGCCCAATTTATTGCACAATCAATGGAATATCTCCATCAAGGGGGAGAAAACCGATCACATCGAAGCAAGTTGATAGATGAATTTGATCACAGTTGGGAAAAAGTGCAAACAATCAATATGGAGAATAGTCCCGGCGGATTAGCCGTGCTTTTATCACGCTACCGTTTGGAAAATGATAACTCAATTTGAAATGCAGTTCAGGCCACCTGATGTGAAGCCGTTATTGAACTCCCAACAGAACAGAGCACGTATTGATTTTGCCAACAAATTCAAATCGAGTCGTCCGTCCATTTGGCAATAATCTTATCTCAGTGGTTCCCAGGGAGTAATTCAGCGGGCAAAGAAAAATTATCTGCTGACCTAGTTTTCCAATGAATTTTATTTTGTCTGCTAAAATAAGTAAATATCTATTCTATCTAATGAGTTAGAACGGAAGTAAATACTGAGCGCTTTTTGTTGGTCACCCACATACACTAATCTGGATATCGCTAAATTTCTTGCACTGATAAGGCAGGTTTTCGATAACTGTCGCTCGCGAAATGCATTCGCGGAAGTTATTAAATCCTCTCGCTTGAGGTTGGTAATAAAAACGGTTAGATCTCATTAAATATTATTTTTTCACATTTATGCATTTTCTGAAAGGGTCAATTACAAGGTCAAATTCATTCAATTACCGCGCAGCAGCTGGGATTCTAATTTAATGGAAAACTTTTCTGTGTTAGAAACAGGGATAAGTCAGCTGCCTCGACGGACGTCATCAGTGGTATGGTATGTATTAAACTAAAATGGTGAATTCTGATGGATAGTCAATTTGGTGGACCCCATACAAAAGAGATTGCCTTCAGTACTCAAGAATGAAGAAGAGCAAACACAACGTGGACGAGATGAAAGTACAATACTCGTATCAAATCTATGGATCATTTGTGTTCCTTGCTATGGCTTTGTTACTTTACGACTGATGCACCAGCAACCATCGTCAGACTCGAGAAATCATACTTTTCAATATATATATATATATATCGCACATGTCTGATGTCAGCCTGTGTGCCAAACAAATCGTGGCACAATAATCTTTATAAAAAGAAAACCGCTCCACGATTTGCAAGTAGGCCGAATACTGCCAGGTTGCCCAGGCCAAGGCAGGTAAATTTTCTTGGGGAATCCACAACCGGAGCCTTTGGCTAATCAAAGCCTGACCCGCAAGGCAGCGGGACGGTGTGCGAAAACCCCAATCCATTGGGGGGGGGGCGGCATTCAGTTCATCGGACCATACGCCCTGTGAACCGGGTCAAACGTCTGTTCACGCAAAAGTCTATACAAATACAAATTATCCATCTTTGTCTCATTAAATCACGATAAATTGTGAAGATACAAAAGCTACAATCCCAGTAAACTCTTCTTATCGTTCAATCGGATCCTTTTTGACTCTAAACCGCGCACTACACGGTTGTAGTACGCGCGCAATCAACTTCACAGTTAAACTGAAGCTCACCCAATGTATATCCGTCGGGTGAGATATCACTGTCTTCATAAATAACCCTGTTTTCTTTCTTTATTAATTCCGTGACTTGTGTGCCAAACAGATATCGGCAAGCATAATCATTACTGTTATTGTATTCATCTAGTGATGGTGATCATCCACATCCACACAGTAGCAATGATTTCAAATCCCATCACCGCCACCACATACAGGGCAGGATCTATGAGGATGCAAATCAGAAGGAATGAAACGGAGAACTTTGCCTGATAACACCAATGACTAAATTTATGCGATGATTTTCCAGGAATCAAGCTGTGTTAATGAATTTCTTCAACGAACGACGCATATGACCATTTCGTGAAACATCCGTCTGTGAAGTTCATGCGTATATTGAAAATAACTTTTTGCCTACTGACAGCGTATCAGTAGCTTGTTTAGAAAAAGAGAATTTTTCCATTAACTACGCGTAGCACGTGGTTAGAATCAGTTGTTGTTACCCTCGCATCAACAGTAGTCGGATAGCGGAAGCTACTTTTCCGATTTCACAATTGGCATCTTCCCGTGTTTCCTGACCTAGGTGGATACAAAGGATACGGTTTGGGCATGGTTGTGGAATTATTCTGTGGTATCCTGGCTAATGCGGCTTATGGACCGAGTATTCGTCGATGGATGAACACCGATCGTGTGGCCAATCTGGTGAGTTAAGAATTTGTTACACAATCAAATACGCAATGTGCATTGAAGGAGAACCCTCTGAAGCCCTTACGATCCTATCACTTTGACTACAGGCATTCACCCCGAAAATGACGGGATTTGAACAATTTTGTCCTCATCGTGGAGAAGCTTCGTTATACCGGTTTTCTCATGGTAGAAAAAATAAAGATCTCCTTTAGCGGACCAGTTACCAGAGCCTTGAGCCGTAGCTAAGCGTTGGTGGAACGCTGTTAAGCTGTAGCGCACAACTGTCAATCTGTGGAATTTGTCTCGTGAGCTAAACGTTTGCTCAGTTCTGATTTGTGAGGATTAGGGAATTCTCCTCAGTTGCGGATTTAGTCGAACACTGAGAAAAAGGATTTTGATGTTTCATTTCCACAGTTTATTTGACGTACAATTACAGTATTGCCGCGCTATTGCGCTATTTCATGTCCAGGTTTGATGAAACTTAAGTTGTGGTTGCAACAAATAGAGCCACTATCGTTCGTATTTTATACCTCCAGGTCAATACCAACTAGACTGGCTCCGGTCGATAGTTAGGGATGTACGTTCCCACGTCTGAGCAGTAAAATATTTAATTTGCTTGAACTTCCTAATCTGTCTCATTCATCTCAAATTTTTTTAGGAAATACTGACCCCATCCATTGTGATATTTTCGTAGCAATTTCTGTCAATGCAGAATTTTAAACCCTGATTTCGTTTCCATTGGTAGTTTGGTTTAAACGAATAGGACGATAGACTCTTCCACAACTGTAATTTTTTGTAGTATTCGGGATAGGCATCGAAATCAAATGGCGCGAACTCGGTATCGGACCGAAAACCCACTGAATAGCGCGAAGTCACGTAGAACCAAGACGAGCTGTGGATACAGTTAGTTCTATTCAGAAAATCATGGAAATATATATAGCACAAGCAACAAACAATCATTGATCGATTCTTGAATGTCCAATCGACAACGATATGGTTCATCTGTTTGCCTTCCTGCACCCAGCCAATCCGGATCATACCTATTGGGTCCACAGGATTGGTCGATTATCCCGTTTCTTGATTGGTTACCTGGAATCTGTACCGCGGTGCGTGCGTACTCGTTACACGATCACCACATTTCTCCCTGAAAAAAAATATCGGAGTGCATATTTCGTGGATGAACTCTTCTCTCAAGCCTGTTACTGATTATAGAATTACATTAAAAAATACAAGGAGTTTTTTGTTATTTGTCTTACTAGATGAGGACAATAATAATATTAATTTAATAATTTTCGAATATAAAAACACCAAGTGAAACAGCAAAGACATTTACCCAACCTAATTCATTTGATGATGGGCTGTTATTTAGTTTGAAGCTCAGCAACAAGCAGTTTCATTGGTTGAACTGTCCTAATGGGCAAGTTTGCGATTTTCGGAATCACGTGATAGGTAATGCCGTGCGTATTTCAATTTAGTTTACTAACTTGCATCTGCACTACACATACAAGTAGCTGAAGAGGATATTGCCAAGGTTGTGAGTTGCTTGTCAAGTTCAGTCCTCAATATGCAGTAGAAGTGCAATGAAAGTGCGCCAATTATGATCAAATTAATATTTATCCCATACCACTTCCTTATTTTTCCGTTTACCACTCGCGAATGGTATCAGTTCGACTGGTATGAATTCGCGTTGTCCCACTATGCCAAAATTCTTTTTCGCGTTCAAGATTTGTTGACATTGATTGGAAGGTTGTTGAATAGTAGGATATCAGGGGTCCCATTCCAGTTTGCAGAAAAACTATAGGTGGATGTTACCATGTGATGGAAACTGAAGATGGTAAACGAATACCAAACATTAGGAAAACATTGTAGCGAACAAAGCTTCTTTTCGAAAAAGGCAAAACTTCTGTTTGTTGTTGTGTGGTTGGGAAATGTTCACAGTCGATGGATTGAGAAAGAGAGAGAGAGAGAGAGAGAGAGAGACAGACAGACAGACAGACAGACAGACAGACAGACAGAGCTATTCCACCATTGTTCCACTGGTTTTGGTTCACCGTTCCCTTACTGCTAACAGCTAAGTTCTTTGTCCCTATTTCAAATGGCCACAATAAATCTAAGGTTCCCATCCTCGGTTGTCGCATCACATCGACATATTTGTAAAGAAAGCTTCGTGTAGACTCGTTTTAGGTGGAACTAAAGCACGGTAGTAACTAGGAATGAACGCCTATTGCTAATCCGAGGTCCAAAAATGAACAGGTTGGAAGTCAAAGTAGTGAAACAGTTTGCGTCCTTACGACAGGCTATTACTTTGTGCCCACGTGGTTAGTTCTAACCGCTTCAGTGAATCGAATATAGCTCACGTGATTAACTCTTGGTACCCACTCGTTTGTTACCCGGAGTTCCCGTAAACCGTACTGTCTGTACATGACGTTTATTTCCCGATTACTCTACGTACCACTGGACATAACCAACTGTTCGACAGGAAAGCTCAGCGAATACCGGCCCGCACTATTTTTTGGTGTGCAGTTCACATTGTGGCTAAATCGTCGTTGAATTAGTGCAAGGTGTTTTCTGAAAATACTCTTCTAATGTCTTAAACGGGCGGTCAAAATAATACTTAATGAAAGAGATAAACCAATGGCAAAATATCAGGAAACCGAGTTTCAACGTACTCATATTTTACAATTGATAACTTGGAAACACGTACCATCATTTTGTCATAATTTTACATTTTAGGGTCAATCGTTCGTTGCCATTGACCCCAATGCGTTCGCTCCCGGATTTGGTGATCGAATGGCGGACTATATGAACATTATGCGAAATCTTCCACGGGTACGTCTCTGGTGTGGTACATCTAATCACACAGTTTGTCATTAACCTCCTATCTGTTGATCGAGTGATGTTTGATTGACTTTTTTGGGAAAACTGGCACCATAATTGACAAAAACCAATGTCTCACATCTCGACTCGCTCTCACTCTGAACATCCCAGTTATATTGATTGCACTGATAGAAACCGTTAGCAGTCTTGCTGTGTATTGTCCAAGATGCACTCTATTGAACAACGCTTAGTTTACCAAAAAGCGACATGGAACACCTACAGCTTCTCAGCTTTTCCCCCATGACTTACAAATGTGGGCTTGTGTGAACCCGGTTTCATCGGGCGAGAAACATTTGTTCTCCAGATACACTAAAGGAGGGAGAGGATTTCGTAAGGAGAACATTGTTAAGCAGTGGTTACCCAGAAAGGCTTATGGGTATTCACGGTAAACCATTCCCAGTAGATAACCCAACCCAAAACGTCTGTATATCAAGCTTACCTTCAAAGGTGACCACATTTACAATGATGTGCGCCAGAAGTTGAGTTCAGCTGTAGACCGTACATTCCCAGCTGCTCAACTCAGACTCATTGCCTCCACTCGTGGAATTGATTTGGACAAACGTCAACATGGCTGGCAAGAGGGGTTACGTCTCACACACTGTACATCAGTTTACCTGCAGTTGCAGTGACGCATACATAGGCAGAACAAACCATCAGCTCTCACAACGGATGGCCGAACATATTCCGAAGTGGTTGGTGAAATCGATGATGCAACCGATAATTGATAGCCAAGGGATAACAATAAATCCAGGGTCATCTGTGCTAAACACGTTATGGCAGCAAGACACAGTTGACTCCAACTAGTCATTTTAACCACTATTACGCAATCGCAATACTAAACTTTTGACCGTTAGCGAAGCCCTGATTATTCCATTACACCAACCGACCCTGTGCGCGCAAACGGTTTTGGCACAATCAATCCACTTACAGTGGAGTTGACCCTCTANGACCCTCTACTTCTAAATTTAGTAAGCTTTGTATGCTTGTACAAGTTCGTTCACCGTTGATTAATCCCATGTGCTGTATATGCGCTTGTTTGTTTTAAGTCAGTGACAGAAGATTAAACGAAATGTTAACATCTCGCGACATTTGTCTTCGTTCTGTATTGATGAGAAGTATATTTTTTATTTAAGGGCGTTAAAACTATATTGATGGCCATGAAGCCTCTTTGATTCAGACAAATCATTAACGTTCGGACGAGCTACTTCGACTTCATAAGCACTAATATGGTCACAGTTTGGTTTTTTGGCTGCTTGTGGTCTTGGAGCTTTTCAGCGTAACGACCTGTTGATAAGACTTTCTACGAATCTTGAAATGCGCGCTCGAGCTCCTATTGTTTTCTAGCCCAAGGTTGATAATAACACGCGAGTTTGTCGGGGACGTGTGTATTGGTGTATCGGAAAGTACTGAATACCTGCATATTTTACCAATAAGTAATACGAGCAAATAAATGCATTAGAAAAAACGAAAGTGTATCACACATGTTGCAGGGGTTTGAACAGGACCCGATGCATATGTACATCTGGCTGGAAATCCGTGCGCAGTAAAACACAAACATTAAAGTAGAATAGTGAGAACCAAAGTAGGTTGTGAAGAAAACATGAATGGACAATGTCCTCGTGGATTGCTTCTTTTTCTTCGTGCAATCATCTTCACTATACAGTATGTTACATTAATTAATTCAGTCTGCATGTAGCGCTCTAGTTTTCTGTGACCATTTGCCCAAAGTTCGTGGTTTTCAATACTATCGCGCTGTTTTGCTGTCCGAGCCTCGGTATGGAGACATAGAAATCATACATCGCTGAAGAATACCGCAGACCACAACTCACTGTTGAATGGGGAAATACTCAACAGAAAACATCGTTTAACAGATTCACGTGTGGATCAACCGGGAAAAGAGGACATCTTTATTCAGACCTACGTTGAAGCTCTCTTTCACAGGAATTTTCCCTTATACTGAACTCTGAACAAGTGATGCGCGTAAAATTGAATTTATCAAATCCATTTTTGCAAGCTTTGAACAAACTTGTTGTTTATTCTTATACTTTTTATCACTGACGCCCGCGCTTCCACCAAATGTACCCCTGTTTTGGGGACCGAGTTTTGTAGAACAAATCTCAGACCGGATTCATGAATTTGATCTATTTCATTTCAGTTATTTTACGTGCTCACCTCTTTTCTTTTCACCCACCCGCAACCTGTCGTTTCACCTGTATTCCAGGTGAATGAAGAAGAACCGGTGTTGATTCCGGGTGACCCCGAACGTGCCCACATGACCGAGTGCGAAAAGATTGGTGGTATCCGTTATCCACTAGTACTCATTGAAAGTATTGTAAGTCACTTTCACCTACCATCTCGTATCCCAGTGGTTTTCGTCTGTTTCTTACACGTCTTATTTGCTAATTGTTTGTGCCTCGAATATGGTCCTCTTATATCTTTGCTCACCTCAAAAAGTATTCAATACCATCAACCAGTTGTTGGTAATAAGCGACTCATAGCAGTCGTAACACAAGAAAAATTTGCTTTCCATTTAAAACGCGCCATGATTAGATAGGATCGAGTCAAAATTTAAATCTAATGACTTGCGCTTTTTCTTTCAATCAAGTAGTTTCATTGGACTCGTAGAGAGAGTAATTAAAATAACCACAAAGTAAATCATCATATTCGTTAGTGACCTCCTGAAAACGTTTTCAAAGCACTGTTCTTTGAATCCGGTCGGATGCATCGTCGTTAGTCTGGACAAGCAAGCTACTTGAACGGGATGCAGAGCTTTTGGTAGTACATCACCATTGCTTAGGATGTACATATCTACCTGTGCCTTTCGGCACAGGTCAGCATCTTCTGAAGTAAGATCGCCTTTTTCCGGTTTCGTTCGCTATTGATTCTAGTCATTTCTCAAATTTATTTGTTCAAGTTGAAACACATATATCGGTGAGTGGACTCTGTAGAGCCATGTCACTTTCAGTTCTGTAGTGTTCAACTTGTTCCGGACACCTTACATTTTATAACTAATGAGATTATCCGCTTTTGGTTACGCATCGGATGTGAAATCTATGACGCCGCAATTAGTTAACCTAACATGAAAATCAAATGCTATGGGTATGATGTCGGAGGGGAAGCAATGCGCGGAAAAATAAAACTGGCGTTGCATCAAGAGCTGGAAATATTCTTCACATATTTCCCTTCTTAACATAAAGATAACAAATGAAAATGTCCGGAAAAAAGGCAGTTCGTGAAAATCAATTCCATTTTGACAATCGATGCCACTGTGCTGGCTGATGCCACTTCATTGCAATTATCTCGTGTCATTTCCCTGCAAAGAATCCTAAAGTTTTACACTGATGAGCAATAAANAACACGGAGAGTAACCTACTCCGTACCTCGTTTTAAAGCTGTCCCGTTCCCAGCTGATTCATATTTGCTTCAATTTGAAAAGCCCAGCAGAGCTCATTTTGGACTGAAACAACCCTCACTGAAACATAGTCAAGAGTTATGCCGCTAGTCAGAAGGCGTGATAGTCAATTCAGCTTAGTCAGACGGCTACACATCTTGTTTTCTATGACACTCACGCGGCGTCAGTTTGACATGTCACTAGTTCTGCCGCCCCATTATTTGAATATGCTGTCTACGTATCCCATTGCCAATCCACTTGTGTGCCTGCGGTCCTTCTAAATTTCTCCAGCAGTCTGTCGTAAATTCATAAATTTTCCTTTTATTTCGGACTGTCGTTTAATTTCTCCAAGTGCTTCGAACGCACTTCAACCCTATTTAGATCCTTTTATCCCTCGGCTGCAAACACAGATCCTCTAACTGGAGTAGATTCCTTGAATTATTTAGGAGTTAATACTGACAGAAACTTGAAACGAACATCCCGTGTTTTCAGTTTTGTAAAGAAACTTCTTGGGTTATCTTTTCGAATTCAAACACTTAGGTGGTTCAACACCAAGTAAAACATTGTTTCGCTTCTTGTACATCAGTATGTTTCTCCTTATCTTCTTTATTGTTCCCCGGTGGATTTTTCTGGACTACTTAAAAAAGACTTTCAAATTGTAAGTCGCGGTTTGTCGATTATGAGACGTGCCCGTTGATGATCTATCTAGAAAAAACTGTATGAACAACACTTGACTGAATGTGAGATAACTACACGAAAAGTCCTCTCTGGCCGAACTCATTGTTTATATAGTGATCTATCCGAATGCTGCCCTCATTGAACCACATGTTGTAAGTATCGTTTATTACTCTCCAGCATTAACCTCTACAGAAATTCTACAGTTCCTTATCTCGCTAGAATCCCTGCAAATAACAGTGATGCGTTTCTTCTGAATTTCTCAGCAATGTTGGAGGTCAAGCGTTTTATCTGCATTATTTCTTTCGATGAGATTGTGTAATTTTTACTGAAATGCAGACTTCTGTTCCCTCAAAAATTTATGCAGATGCAAATATAATGGAAAAAGAACATAAATACTACTCATTGCTTATGATACTAATTCCTTCCCATGTATTTCTACTCACCCCACCTCTAGAACCAACTGGCCGATCGATTACAAGTTCCCAGAGTCCCCATCTTCAAACAGTTGTGAATCAGCCACACCTCGTCAAAACTTGAATACTTCCAATACGTTGAGATGTAAAGTCTTTCTTTCAATTGTGAATGAACAAGTTGTGATTTTCTTACCAGGGCACCTTTATTTTTTCAGCAATGTACCTACATAATTTGATCATCGAATATTACACACCATTTGATACATAGAAATCAGTGCTTTGGAATTCATTTGTTTGGTACTGGCTATATTAATTGTCGGAAGCTGTTGGTAAATTTTTCCCAAACTTTTCGATAGAAGTGATTCAGCTCTACCTTTATCACTTACAAACAGGGTAGAAAATGTATCTCACATTCTCAAACAATGTGTGTGTGTGGACTCCCTGACCAAATCGGCGACCTGTTCGTGTGGTCATCGCATTGTCACTGTAACCAGTCTCGCACAGACGTCAATGAGTGAGATAAATCTGACCTAGTCAAAGCCGATCTCCAAATTCAAATCACAGAACGCTCGACGGGCTTCGCTTGTTGGTTGTCCTGGTACGGTTCCAGAGGCAACCCCTGGTGGTTTGTTTATTCTTGATTCACTCTAAAAGCGGCCGGTTTGAAATATTTTTAATAATATTTGCGATATTTTAAATATATAATTGAGTGTTTATTCTTATGAAATAGGAAAGTGTATTTTTGCCTGATTGGTTTTAATTTGTGACCTTGAAACATGTCGGACGGCTCCAATATGTACCGTACACTCCATAAAATTGAAAGAGAGGTCTGTGTTGAGAATATGCTAGACCGGCATTTACGACCTAGACGACATACCTGTGCATGCGTGTGGTGATTGTGTATAAACTGAACATTCTTGTTTCATTACATGATCGATTGCTTTATACAATTTCGGCGCATAATATAAAACTGACTTCGAATATTCTGTAGTTCTATTCCATACTGCGTACTACTTCGGTTGGAGCTTAATTGCGCGGATTATTGCAGTTCAATTCCTGATACCATTTACAGATTACCACAATGCGGTTGCACGATGAACACGCAGGTGTTTTGGCTCTACCAGGATGGTTTTGTTTCTTAGTGCACAAGTTNCAAGAAGAGAACTTCTATTCGTTCAGAAACATTCTTTGGGAAATGCAGGCTTCAATTGCCGACTCTGATGGAATTAAATTTATATTTCGTGACGGAAGAACCCGTTTCACGTGCCGCTGCTATGGCTAATGTTTCGCGCGAAAATGCGTTTCAGGGGTACATATACTGCCGAGATGTGTCTTTTTGGAGTGTAGGCAGGGGAATAAAATGTATACTACTTACAAGTAATTTATTCTTATTTACGAAAATTGCTGCTGGGGCCATCGGGTTGTAACGCGAGCCCGGTTCCGTTCGTGGAACGACTCGCATGTGAGTGTATGCTTCTTTCGACAATCCACAAAAGGAGCAGTATCATGCACTGATTCTCACTCAATCTGAACAAAAGAAGATTCCAAGTTCAACTAAGAAACGCTGGAAGTAGAATGCCAAGATGCTTCATCACCCTTGAAACTGGATATTTAAAAGGTATCCCGAGTGCAAAATAAGAATGAACCTCTTCGCTCGCTGATGAAGGCATAAATTAGCAGCGTATAACAAATGTGGCTGCGTTATTCACATGTAATCAATAATGTCAAACTACAAATAGATTTTGGAGATTGGTAAATGTGCAACACTCAGTTTATCAGAACAATCACGCTAAACGTGCTGCCTACAATTTTTTTCAAACACGGAACATTCAATATTCAGGTTTCGTATACACGGATTACCTGAAGCTGTCCAGGGAGTATTCGATAATGACGTATATATGCTGAATTCAACGGTTTGTAAGTTGAGCTTCTCATGGATATCGTAGAACATATCTATCAAAAAATTCTTAACCCCGAGAAATAAAAAATTTGTGGATTTTATGAGATATACAAACGTATATTGCAGTACATTTCTAGAGGAACGAGCCAAATCCGAGTGAATAGACAGTAAAAGGATGCAGCACATTTTACCAAGACGTAAACACCGCATTTCACGTTCAGTGTTAAAAAAACATCGTGCTTTTGGCCCCAAAACAGTTGGTGCCTTCGAGGCGAAATGTAGTAGCCCAAAACCTGACAGTCGTAACAAAAGATATATGCTGACATTGCATCAAGGTTCACGTATAGTTTTTATTACAACAAGACAAACCGATTTATACATGTCCAATCTTGTAACGAACAAAACCATCTGTAGGGATTTCATGTCAAGCGATACAATCGTACCATATAAGAACACCCCTCCACTGTTGTGAATCCACTCGAAATGCACTGATTTACTCCGGGCCACGCAGATTGAGTTGCTATCCAGTTAGCCTTGTCCCAAAAAGGCCGCACACTGCCTGGACAAATACAACGGCAACCATGAACCAAAATGTCATTTTAGGGCACTGGCATATCGATACCCGATCTAATACATATATGTCGCAAACGAACGTCCGTACGAAAACAGAACGAGACGAGTCACGAAACGGAAGACGAGTTGTATTGTTACAATCTGCAGAGCAAGAGAGAGAGATACGAAAGAGTGAGCAAGCGTGCGAAAAGTGAAAGTAAAGACATGCTGTCCAAAGAGGTGGCCTTGGTGTGGTAAAACAATGAGATGCACAGGAGGGAGGGTACATGTAGAATGGGATTTGGTTGGTCACTATAGAGCTCCCTTTCCTAGAAGACTAGGGAGAGTCTTCTATAAGGGTGCATGAATTGTTTGCTGTGGTTTGCACGT